GAGGGTCGGATGCGTCCGACCCGCGCGGGCGCGGGGGTTTTGGCCTTTGGTGTTTTCCGATTCTCCGGGACTTGTATTTTCTGCTGTTTTGCGTATTTGATCGTCTTGTTGATTTGTACGCATTGTTAACTTGTTTCATGCGTTCGTTAGCTTCTTTACGGCACTTTGGATCCGCCCAGCATGCACGTCGGGCACTTTTGATCTTGACCAACACGCACGAGCTGATTGATGCGCGCGTGTTGACCGACGCGCGCGAGGTGATTGACGTGCGTGAGCTGATTGACGCGCGCGTGTTGACCAATGCGCACGAGGTGATTGACGCGCGCAAGCTGATTGACGTGCGCGTGTTGACCGACGGTGGCCGGTGAGCGCACAAGACACAGTTGGTTCGCCATTCCAGTTCATGCGCTTGTCGGCGTCAGATAATCCTCTTAGACTCGGATAACTATGTTCGTTATCTTCTCTTCGTCTCGAGCTATCTACGGACACCTATAAGCATTTTTAGACGCCTACAGATGTTTACGGGAAAAATTGCTTTCTTCATTGAGTTCATTGTTCTCTCGAGTAACTGTTTTTCGATTACAAAAGATTCGGTCTTTTTATAAGATCCGGTTACAACGAAATCAAAGAAAAAATAAAAAAGATTACAACTTTCCTTTTTTGAACGAATCACGAGCTCCTGTTTTGCGGTCTCTCGCTTGTGTGGGTTCTTTGCCTGCGCCAGGGTTAATCCGTGGACCACCGCGCGATCTTGATCCGGTCGGATCTACACGGTATCGCGGGTATTATTTCACGAAAGAAATAACAGCCGAGGGGATTATTTCACCAAGGAAATAATAGCCCGTAGTAATCGAAATCGACCAAGCGAAATCGAGACTCTTTTCGGGATCAAAAACCAAGTTTTGATCCGGAGGAAAACCGTGTAGATCTCAGATCTGATCTCTCTCGAACTCCTGCCTTATTTGGCGTGGATGATCGCCAAGAACCAGATCTGATATGTCCAAGTCTTCAAAGTTCCAAAGCTTTAATCTTTTTAAATTTTGAGCCTTCAATCCAGCAGAGCTTCACCTCCAAAAGTTCCAACCTTTCACAAATGAGCCATCAAGTCCTATTTATAGGCACTCAGATCTGTGCCTTGGCACAGATCTGGCCGGCCACCAATTGGGGGCTCGGCCACCGAGCCACCTAGAGGTGGCTCGGTTTTGGCCGAGTCCTCCAGGTGTTGTGCCGTGTTGTTCGTTGTCCGGTTTTATGGTTTCGTGGTTTATCCAAGTTTTATTGTTGATCTAGACTCTGATTTGGTGTCCGGATCCTGATTTGGCAGTAAATCCGCCTTGTCGTTGATCTGAACTCTAATTTTGGAAGTCCGGATCCCGATTTGGCAGTAAATCTGCCTTGGAGTTCAAGTTCGAATCCGTTCTACGGTCGGATGACTTGTTGACTCACCGAACTGTTAGCTTGATTCCGCACGCGAATGGATGCATTCCGTTGCTTGCGTACGATTCGTTAATCTCGTCGCCTCGTTAATCCGCTTCGTTGCGTGTCACTTGGCTTCGGTGTTGTGGACTGACGCTCGTGTTTAGATATGTCGCCCGATAGTTCGTTGTTTTGTTGAATTACCGTGCCGAGCTGTGTTAAGGGACCTATAAGCAGTTTTATACGCCTACAGATACCCCCTCCAAAGTATTTCAGCCTCGTTCTTTTATAGAAGAGTCTGGAATGCTTTGGATATGATTGCCCCAACCTTCAATCGGTATGACGGGACCTCGGAATGGCTTTTGTTCTTGATTCCTTCAATCCTTCAGGCTATTCGGTGCTTTGTCGAATATCTGTAAGGGCTCCGGTGCTGCATTTATTGTCTGACCGTTGTCGGGATTTTGACCTTGAAGTTGATTCCCGATTTTCTGATCTTTAGCTCGTGCTTGTTGGTTCAACATAGAACTGATTGTTGGCGTTGAGTCTTTATTTGCGACGCGTTGTCCGGCGTAGTGTTGTTGAGTTATCCTTAAGAATATTTTTAGAAAAATATTCTCCAGAAACTTCTCAACCAAAAATAGGGACTAGTTTATACTCGTATACCTTATTGGAGTAATTTTTGTGCCCGAATGAGCTGAACCGGCCTAATAATGAGTTGAACCGACCTGATATTGACCTAAAAAAGGCAGTAATTAGGCTCAAAAATCTTCCGACCCTTCCGAATGTGTGGGAGAGGAAAGGATAAACAAAGGATTGAACCCTCGGTCGATTTGAAGTCGTTTCGATGTTCGATTCAGCTTCAATTTGAGTTCTGGTTCAAATCTGGTTCAAATCTGGTTCAAAC